TCTGGCTCCAGCTTCCCAACTTTTTGGGGATTTGGGGAACAAACCAGCAGACGGAAGATGCTGCTCCTCTTTCATTGTTTCTCCTCTGTTCTCTCCCTTTTTCAAATTTAAAAAAAAAAAAACAAGAAATGATCGCTATAGAGACAAACAGGATTGGATTTGCAAAATTGCAAAGATTCAGTTTCTCATAGCTTTGAAATATTGCAATCTGTAGGCCTGCCCTGCTGCTTCCCAGGCCTTGGAAAGCCAGCAGCAGGCAGTAAGCTGAGAGCGCTTGAAAAGAGCTGTGCAGCTGCTAGCACTGCTATGGGGGCTCTCTAAAAACCAATAAGGCGAACCCCACGCCCTTCACAGAGAAGGTGGGGGGCTCTGTTGCTTAGCCAGTGACCCAGAACACAGGCTTGGATTACCGGGCGCCTCTAGATTAGGGCTAATCAGAGGCAGGCTGAGCAGATGCAGACAATCCCAGCCTGATTACTGTGCCTCGCGTTTAATCACCTCTCCTCCAAGGGCAGCCAGCCCGACTTCGTGCAGCCTGGGTTTCCACGCCTCCGGACCCTCCCCCACTCTCGCCAAGAATATAAAGGCTGCTAGGTCAGAGCCTCTGGGGTGATTCAATCTAATCCATTTCAGAATGCATGCCCCGGAAATGAAATGGCAATACACTCATTTAAGGTAGAGAAAGACAAACTATGTAGTTAAGAATGGAATTGGGACTCGGCATGTTTGAGGTCATCAAGTGACTTCAGCATATAGAGCGATGTCTCCTGTCGGCTGGCTCGCTCCCGCAGATGCCTGCGGAGCCTAGGGCAAGGCCAGAGCTGGGAACTCATTCCAGTCTCCCACGGTGGAGGCTTGGGCCCAACTCCCATGGCTTACAAAAGTAAGAAGCTGAAGTGTGAGCTAGGTGCCCAAGCCAGGCACTCCAATGCAGGCTGCAGGCATCCTAACAGGGAAGCCAAGAAAACACTCCCTGGCAGGCTGGGCACCACTCACTCATCCCATGGAACTTTGAGAATTTACTGAGTACTTCCTAACTTGTTGGGGACTCAAAGGTGGAGACTAAGTCTCTTCCTTAAGAATTGTCTCCTTGGGGGGCGAGATATGTAACAGTGGTCATGGAAGGACCCAGTCTCTATGGGGGCGGGGAGGGGCTTTCCAAACTGCTATTGGATGTGGAAAGAGAGTTCCTAAGAGAGGGCAAGGGAGAGACCAGAACTGCCTGTGGGAGGAGTAAGAGAAAGCTGTTCAAGGCAGAAGCAGCAGTGGACGCAAACGTGAAAGTGTGTGCTTGGAGAAGCCCAGGCCACCGGTCAGCTGCCTGCAGCGCGGTGGAGTGAGTGGGGACAGTGGGCTGGCAGGCTCAGCTAAGCAACAGGAGCCAACGGGGAGCATGCAAGACCGGCGAAGGAGTTACACTCCATGAACCTTTGGGAACCACTGAAGCATTGTATAAATCAGTTTGCTTGGAGATCACCTGGTCAGCCAATGTGTATTTTGACATCTGAAGCCTTCTTCATTCTCTTCAGAGGCACATCCTCCATGGCACAGTGCTGGGCATGGACCCATAGTCCAGGAAACCCAGACATGCCATGAGCCAGAGTGGAAGAGGTTTAGTTTGGTTCTGTGTACCCCAGCCTTGATCCAGGCGGCTGCGCTCCAAAGGGCTCCCTCTGCTCTCCGCCGTCGCTGTGGATGTCACAGGTGTGGCTTGGGACTCGCGTTTGGAGGTTTGCAAACTGCATCAAGCCCAGAGGGAGGAGCAGTGAATGAGACGGCTTGTTGCTTCTGGCTTTGCCACAATTTGTTCATTAGTTTTGCCTGATTTTTTTCTTTATCTTTTGTTTGTTTTCATTCTTTTCATTTGTTTGTTTAGTTAGTTAGTTTTACCTGTTTTTCATCAGAGAAAAATATCAACGTAATGCTGGTGGGGACAGACTGGCCTGAGACCGTATCTCTTCATACTAGCTGGGCCCATGCCTAGTGCCTAGCCCGCTGGGACGTGCTGATGGCAGCCCATGGCACCTTCAGCTTCATCCTATTGGGAACTGAGACAAACCCAGGTCAGGCATGGCCTCGAAGAAGACTTCAGTCAAGTGGGAAGGCCTGTATCTATGCCTTAGGTGGTTCCCAGCACTGCTGACCCGGTCCTACTGAGAGTACAGAGGCCTTGGACGGGAGCTGGGGTGGTTCAGCCTGCCCAGTCAGCTCTGAAGATGAATGGAGTGGTGGAGGGCACTGCAATAGCCTAGTGGCTAAAATCCTCACCTTGAATGTGCTGGGGTCCCATATATGTGCCAGTTCATATCCTGGCTACTCCACTTCCCATCCAGCTTCCTGCTTGTGGCCTGGGAAAGCAGCAGAAGAGGATGGTCCAAAGCCTTGGGACCCTGCACCCGCCTGGGAGACCCAGAAGCTCCTGGCTTCAGCTGTGGCCATTGGGGCCACTTGGAGAGTAAACCAGTGGATGGAAGATCTTTCTGTCTCTCCTTCTCTCTGTAGGTCTGACCTTCCAATAAAAATAATTTTAAAAAGCTTTTTTTTTTTTTTTTAATGCCATGTAATGAAAACTTGAGCAAAGGTGAGACAAGGAATAGGACCAGTCTTCTGGGGAACTGAGAATAGTCTGGGGTGCCAAGAGCACAGGGAGTCACGAGTGAGACTAGAAAAATGGGCCAGGGCAGACTTGGGGATGCCCTGAGTACCAGGCCAAGGTACTTCCCTTAGTCACGGGCTTTGGGAACATTTTCAACATCTTGAAACTTTACAGGTGGAGCTTAGGGGAGTAACATGTTATGAAAAAATTAACTTCAGGGCACAGGAAGGTGTCAACTGAAATACTGATTGCAAACATTTAAGAATTGTTTCAAAGATTTAGACAGATCTAGAGAATCTTTTTTTTTTTTGGCCAAGAGCCACTTGGACATTTATAACATTTATCATCAAATGCTTATCCATAAACTGGCTAAATTTATTCTATAAAACTTGATACACTGTAATATAAAACAACCTTTTTTTTTTTTTAAGAGTTACACAGGGAGAGGAAGAGATATTTTTTTTTACTGATTTACTCCCCAAACAGCTGTGACAGCCAGGGCTGAGTCCGGCCAAGTCTCCGATGGGGGCAGGGCTCCAAGCACTCAGGCCACCTCAGGTGCCTCAGCTGGGAGCTGGATCAGATGTGGGGCAGCCCGGTCTCCAACTGGCACTCCACAACACCAGGCCCTACCATGTACCTTTTTTTTTTTTTTAAGATTTGTTTTAAAGGTCAATTTACAGAAAGTGAGAAGAGACATGAGAGATAAATGTTCCATCCGGTGATTCACTTCCTGGTTGGCTGAAGTGGCCAGTGCCAGGCCAGAGGCAGGACCAAGAGCTTCGTCTGCGTCCCCACATGGGTTAAGGAGCTAAGCATGGGACCAGCCTCTTCTGCTTCCTAAGCACATTAGCAGGGAGCTGGATCCAAAGTAGAGCAGCCACAACATAAGCCAGAAGCCCTAAGGAGTGCCTGGGCGTGCAGGCGTGCTGTGAGGGTGTGCTCAGGCGAGGTGACAGCAGGCCACTTCTGTCATCCCTGCCCCTCCCGCCCAGCCAGTATCACTCCTGGTCTTGGCACCCTTACAGATCAGCACGTCAGTCCGAGGCATGAGCGCCTGTGCCCCGGGGCTTGCAGCCTCCAGCGCCCCCTAAGGGTGGACCACTCCGTCCGCTGTCACCATCTCCCATCTAGCCTTTCCTCGCTGTTCTGCTTTCTGTTTTCCCCAAGAGGTTTCTGCTTCAGTTTCTGATACATTCAATATAGTTCATACATAATTCTGTTTTCTTTTTAAAGATGCATTTATTGTCATTGGAAAGGAAAATTTACAGAGAGAAGGAAAGAAAGAAAGATCTTCCATCTGCTGGTTCACTCCCCAAGTGGCCGCAACAGCTGGGACTGAGCCGATCTGAAGCCAGGAAACAGTAAACCTCTCCCAGATCTCCCAGGCAGGTGCAGGTCCCAAGGCTTTAGGCCGTCCTCGACTGCTTTCTGGGGCCACAGGCAGGGAGCTGGAAGGGAAGTGGAGCAACTGGAACACAGACTGGTGCCCACATGGGATCCTGGAACTGACAAAGGGAAGATTAGATGGTTGAGCCTGTAAATAGAATTCTAAGAATAGGATGATATTCTTTCCCTCCCTTATTTTTTCCTTCCACCTTCTGTCCATTTTCCTTTCTTTTTAAATTTTTTTAACAGTGCAATAAAAAAAAGGTGGTACTTCAACCAGTAAGATATTTAATAAATTTTTAAGAAGTGGGAATATTGACAATAGCTATAACAATAATTGAATGGAAAAATGACCATTTCACTCATGTGGTAATTTTAAAGTCATATTGGATCATTAAATCTATACTACCATTGGTTTGACAAACCATAAAATGAAGTTTACAACTGTCTTTTCTATGTCTTTGTAAGTTTCGGCTCCCGCACGTAAGGGAGAACGCACAGTATTTGTCTTTCTGTGTCCAGTTTATTTCATTCAGGATCTGTTTTGCTGCAAATGATAGAGCAAAACTTTCTGTAGCTGAATACTGTTCCATCATGTGCGTATAGTACAGACCACTTGGTTATTATGAACGGACCTAGCTGCTGGCGTAAGCTGGACTCTGTAGACGGGATGTGGCTAGGGGAAGCTGTGAGAACTGGAGCCCAGGCTGCAGAGGACGCAGGGGCAGCACCTGGCTGAGCCACACAGATGAGCCCTGTGGCATGAGGCCAGCGCACCTGCCGGGCCTGTCCTTCTGAACGGTGTCGGCAAGCACAGAGGCACAGCATGGTGCGGTGGCCTGCCTTGAGCCCGGTTTCCACAATTTCTCTAAACCTCTCCTTCCTGATAGCCTTTTTGAAACATTGTACGTGGGGTGTGGAAAGAGGTTGCTGTGTGCCCAGCCAGCAGCGAGACGCTGGGCCAGTCCCAGGAGTCTGCACCCCGTCGCGCTGATGCTCTGCTTTGTCTCCGCAGGCCTGGTCCAGATCCCAGTGAGCATGTACCAGACTGTGGTGACCAGCCTCGCCCAGGGCAACGGACCCGTGCAGGTGGCCATGGCCCCTGTGACCACCAGGATATCGGACAGCGCAGTCACCATGGATGGCCAGGCTGTGGAAGTAGTGACATTGGAACAGTGACACGCAGCCATATCATGGCGTTGTTTTCTAGTCTACTTCAAAAAAATTTTTACATGTTTGCAGCAGTGCAATCAAATGGAATTAAGTCTCTCGACTTTGGAAGAAGAGTTTTGTTAACCTTTTTTTTAAAAAGGAAGAAGGCAGCGGATTTTGGAATTGCGTTTTTTTAAAGTACCACTCTTGATTTTCTGGGATCAGTGGAGTAAGAAACTGCATTGTCAATTTCACTGTTCCCCCAAAAAGCCAAATTGTGGCAGGACTTCTTTCTGCAGAAATGTGTGTATACTTACGTGTGTGTATGTATGAGTGAATATATGTATATGTGTACATATGGACATACACATTTACATATATGTATAGAGTATATATGTACATACGTGTATATGTATATGTATGAGCCCGCATGGAGTGCCCTGTATGAAATAAGGTGAGCTGTGGAAATGATCACTCGCCCAGTTTAGTGGGTGATAGGGTACGCGGCCAGCACAGTCACCTGGTTTCTGTTCATGCCGGGATCGAACACTGAGCTACTGAGAAACTCAGGTGGAGTGACCATGCCCTTCACCAAAGCTGCCTCCCAGTGGCGCCAGAACCCTCCCTGGGGCATTCACCTGCGGAGGGGATTCCAGAAAGGAGTAGGGTCCAGAAAATGCACTCAAACAGGCCCGAGGCCCCCACGGGCTGCGGGCTAGATGCTGGTTGGGCTGGCCCAGGTGCTGACCTGGCCACGAGCAGGTGAGTGTCCGGGGTTTCCCAGGCGGGCCAAGAGGATCCTCCTCGCTCTCCCGTCTCCTCCCCTTGCTGGGAGTCCTCCTCGACCTCCTGACCATTACGGAGTTGCTTTGGTTGTCGGGTCAGTCCTGAGCTGGTCATGTGTGGGAACTGAAGGTGACAGAAGTATTAAGGATTTGAGGAGTGTGTGTGCATTAGGTATGCCTGCAGGCGTGTGGCGTGTGGCGTGTGTGTGTGTGTGTGTGTGTGTGTGTGTGTGTGTGTGTGTGTGTGTGGTGGGGAGAGAAGGAAGGGCTGGAGGCAAGTTTGTGGCTGGCCTCACCCACAGGAACAGTTCTGCGACCCTGGAGCTAGGCGCGGAGAAGCCTCTGGAACTGAAAGGGATGCCGGCTCCTGGGCGTTCAGCCCTCGTGGTGGGGCGTGGGCCCAAGGGCGCCGCAGCAGTGTCTTGCCTTCCTGGATCAAACCCGGTTGCTGGGGGACCTCGGGAGGCTGCCAGCCTGGGGTTCCCCCCCGAAGACCACCGTGTGTCCGTGCCCCAGCTGGCTGTCTGCCCCTAGAGCAGGCACGGCCTTTCCCCTCTTCCTGGGTCCCCACGCGTGTGTGACAGTGTATTTAATGTGTTGGGTTTTTTTTAATGCGACATTAAAAGATCTTCATGTCTTGCTCAGCCTTTGAGAAGAGTTTCAGATTCTTGTATTTGCTTGTTTTATATAAAACTATCCAATGTTCTTTGTATGTTCTTTTCTGTACGTAACAGGGTGGGGGAGGGGGGCAGTTTCCATATAAACAGTTCTAGTTCTCCAGTTGGTTATTTTTTTAAATTCTTTTTATCATCATTGTGAAGCTGTCCTGGGGCGGTCAAGTCCTTTGTGGTAAAGTAACCTCCAGTAGTCTGAGAATTTGCCGAGAAGAAAACGGGGAAAAACCTAGTAGAGCATGGATTCTGTGTCGTCTTCCATTCTGTCTCTACTGCCTCATTCAATAAATAGTTGAAAATGTGGCAACGGCAAGTGGGACTGTTGATCTCTGTGAGAGTACCAGCCTCCCGGCCAGGAGCCGCCTTTGGGCGTGGCTTCCTCTGCTTGTTCGAAGGTGTTTGCCCCAAAGGAGTGAGTTTTGACCTTGTGCCCTTGGCACGGTGAAGCCCCAGAAAAGGAGGCCGAGGACTCAGCGCATCAGCTCCATCCCGTTGTCAGCGATGGGATGTTCTCTGCAAAATCAACCCCAACTATGGCTGGAAAGCCTCTGATCCAGAATTCTTGTTTCAAGGCTTCATGCCAGTCACCTTGAAATGTCAGGTGCAGGGCTGGCACGGTGGCTTCACGGGCTTCTCCTCCTTATCACAGTGCCAGCATCCCAGCTCTGGCTATGGTTAGACTCAGGGGAGTGAATAGCAGATGGAAAATTTTGTCTTTGAAATTGAAATAGAGGGAGAGAGTTCAAGTTAAATAGTTTGGGTAGGACCCAGTGCAGTAGGCTAGTGCCTAAATCCTCGCCTTGAGTGTGCTGGGATTCCATATGGGCATGCTGGTTCATGTCCCGGCTGCTCCACTTCCCATCCAGCTCCCTGCCTGCGGCCTGAGAAAGCAGTCAAGGACCGCCCAAAGCCTTGGGCCCCTGCACTCACATGAGAGACCCAGAAGCTCCTGGCTCCTGGCTTCAGATCGGCTCAGCTCTGGCATTGCAGCCACTCAGGGTGAACAAGTGGATGCAAGATCTTTCTGACAACGGGATGCTGGGCTGTCTGACGTTGTCTGTACCAGCAGTGTCAGAGCACACTTAAGTAGCATACAGATGGAATTATAACTCCTTATGAAGGAATGTACTGCTGTGACAGTATGGGAAAAATCAGTTGGGCTGGGAACTGGGGCAAAAGGGAATCCCATATTACAGAATTGCCTAATAAAATTCAAAATTGAAAATAAAAAAATTTTAATTATGTAAAAAAAAATGACCTTTCTGTATATCTGCCTTCCAGTAAAAATAAATTTTGTAAAAATAATTATTATTTGGGAAAATTTCCACTACTACTAAGAGGCAAAGCCAAGACACAGATTTGGGCAAGCTGGCCCAGTACTTACCAGCTTGGGGCCTGAAATGTGTGGGAGTAAACAAGATGACAGGTTCCAGCTTTAGTGGTTTTTTTTTTTTTTTAATAAGATTTATAGATTTATTTATCTTTACTGGAAAGTCCAATACATAGAGAAGAGAAACAGAGGAAGATCTTCCACCCACTGATTCACTCCCCAAATGACCACAATGGCCAGAACTGAGCTGATCTGATGCCAGGAGTCTCTTCTGGGTCTCCCATGCACGAGCAGGGTCCCAAGGCTTTGGGCAGTCCTCGACTGCTTTCCCAGGCCACAAGCAGGGAGCTGGATGGGAAGTGGAGCAGCCGGGACATGAACCAGCACACCTATGGGGTCCTGGCACTTGAAGGGAGAGGATGAGCCCACAGAACCATTGAATCAGGCCCTGGACTGTGGTTCTGAAAAGCAACCCCCAAGACATCTTGAGTTCAAGACCAGATGGGGCATCCAGACGTGTTCATGAGTCACACACGCGAACACAGGCTCAGGCCTAAAGCAGAGCAGGGCTTAGCATGGCTGCCTGCCTGAGGGACCCTCGAGAGCCAGCGGCTGCTTGCTCAACCTGAAAACTCAGGGGTCCTCAAACTGTTCCTGCCAGCTGCAGGAATCAGACGGCCAGTGTTAACATTAATTTGCTGCCCCCCACAAAAAAAAACAAGTCATTTTAATTTTTAAGCTTCATTTATTGTTATTTTTATTCATTTGAAAGATGGAGTTCCAGTGAAGGAGGGGCAGAGGGGGAGAGAGCGAAGTCTTCCATCCACTGCTTTATCCGGAAACAGCCCCAACAGGCTGGGTGAGTCCAGGCTGCAGCCAGGAGCTTGGAACCTCTTCTGGATCTCCCCCATAAGTGGGTACAGGTACTGTGATTTGGGCTACCCTCTAGCTACCTCCCCAGACCCATTTTCAGGAAGTAGGATGGGAGGCGCAGCAGCTGAGCTCCCTAAGGGATGCTGCCAGTGCGGCTATGGCTTTGCTTGCCAAGGCACAGCATCGGCCCCATGGTTTTATTTTAAGATGTATTTATTTGTATTGGAGAGCAGATTAACACAGAGAAGGAGATAGACAAAGATCTTCCATCTGCTGGTTCACTCCCCAAGTGGCTGCAACAGTTAGAGCTGAGCCAATCTGAAGCCAGGAGTCAGGAGCTTCCTCCGGGTCTCCCATGCGGGTGCAGAGTCCCAAGGCTTTGGGCCATCTTCGACTGCTTTCCCAGGCCACAGGCAGGGAGCTGGATGGAAAACAGGGCTGCCAGGATACGAACCGGGACCCATATGGGATCCCAGCATGTGCAAGGCTAGGACTTTAGCCACCAGGCTGCCACTACAGAAGCAGGGCCTCCTGCTGGTTCTAATCCCAGCAGCTCCACTTCCCATCCAGCTCCCTGCTTGTGGCCTGGGAAAGCAGTGGAGGACGGCCCAAAGCCTTGGGACCCTGCACCCACATTGGAGACCCAGAAAGAAGTTCCTGGCTCTTGGCTTTGGATCGGCGCAGCACTGGCTATTGTGGCCGCTTGGGGAGTGAAGCATCGGACAGAAGATCCTGTCTCTCCTTCTCTCTGTACATCTGCCTTTCCAATAAAATAAATCTTAAACAAAACATATGAATCGTTATTCACTAAAAAAAAGAAGAAGAAGAAGAAGCAGGGCCTCCAGGATTAGAACTGGCACCCACATGGGATCCCAGCTCGTTCAAGGCAAGGACTTTAACCACTACGCTATTGTGTGGGGCCCAAATTTATCCATTTAAAGCATACCACTCGAGGGTCTCCAGCATACAAAATGGCACATTATGACAAGTTGAGTTTAGAACATTCTCCTGTCCGCTAAATAAGCAGACGTCTGTCATTTTCCCCCCAAATGAAACAGGTTATATAAAAGCTGTATATAGGCATGGACGTTGTGCAGCGTGTTAAGCCGTCATCTGGAACACCTGCAACCCTCCATCCCGGCTCCTCTGCCTCTGCTCCAGCTCCCTGCTGATACCCGCACTGGTGGGACTGGTGGCACAGCAAGGCATGTGAGCACCGATTTGTGGCCAGAGCACCTGGGGCCTCTCTTGCACATTGCTGGCTGCAAGGGAGCTCGCTCCCAGTCACAGTGAACAGAGTGACAGGCCTCAGACACTCCAAGCAGCCTTGCTGCTGCCACCACTGAACCTCCAGTTGTTTTCTGGACACTGGCAAGCTGGCAAGGGTTTTTTGTTTGCTTGTCTGGAGCTTTTTTATATATCCATTTCTATTGGAAAGGCAGATGTACAGAGAGAAAGAAAGAGATCTTCTATCTGCTGGTCCACTACCCGATGGCAACAATACCAGAGCTAAGCTGATCTGATCCAAAGCCAGGAGCTTCTTTCAGGTCTCTCTCCCATGTGGCTGCAGAGTCCCAGGCCACAAGCAGGGAGCTGGATGGGATGTGGAGCAGCTGGGACACGAACTAGCACGCATATGGGATCCTGGTGTTTTGAGGTAGAGGATTAGTCAGTTGAGCTATTGTACTCGGCCCCCTCCCTGGCAAATTGTTTCTAAAAACAGAGTGGACTCAATTTCCCAAACAATCCTCTCAAAAGGAAACTTAAAAAGCCATCTCCACGTAGGCACCTTCCTAAGCTACTGACAGGTGTACCCCTAGCTATCTGGAATGGCTCTAGACAGCTACAACTGAGAGCTGGCTCCCCAGATGCAGTGCCAGAGCCTAATCAAGGCACATGGATGGTCTGCTCACCCCCAGTGAGCTGCAGGTGCCCCCCCCACCCCCCGGTCTTCATCCTTGCCCTCTAACCGAAGCAAGGAAGTGAGCACCTGTTACTCCCGAATCATCCTGCCAGGGCTCTGCACTGCTGGCTGCTGCAGAATCCACTGTGCCCAAGGACCCTCACCATGCTCCCCTGTCCACGGACGCCAGCTTCACCCCTCCACCTGTGACAGCACTGCCAGCCCCTCACAGGAAGCTGCTGTTCTGTCCTGACCTGTGTCCAGGCAGCAAATGATGGCTGCAGGAGCAGGACCACACCACAGCAACGCACTTAGGGCCTCGCACCTGCCAGCACCTCCAGCCCTCAGCACCTTCTCCCTGCTGCTCTCCCGAGGCTCCCTTGAGGAGCTAGCTGCCTACAGGAAGAGCTGCCCACACCTCTGGGCCACACTGCCTGCCTTCCACCCTCACTGCCCAGGATAAGCCAGGACAAAAGTTACCATCAACCCTTGTGGCTGACCACTGCGCTTCTGGGAGCCTCTGGCAGATGGCTCTGGTGGCTGCTAGCCTGGGGACAGTTACTGGATGCTCCCAAAGTGTGTGCAGGCCCTACTCCCCTCCAGCCCTGGCCAAACGCAGCTCTGCCAGCCCATATATGTACCTTGGGAGGGTGTGTTCGGCTGGCCAAAGTTCAGTCTCCATCATCTTTAAGATCAGTCCTACTGACGTTCTGAAATACTGCCTGCAGCACCGCTAGTGCTATCTGAATATGGACTAGTATGCCTGAACTGTCATTACATTTGGGAGACAAAGCCAAGATCACTAAGCTCTTAAGAATTTAAAAAATGAACGAAGCATCTTTTCTTTTTTTTAAACGAGGCATC